ATTTCTGCCGAACATTTTTCTTGGCATTCCTCTGCAGTTATATTGAGTGACACGTCCAGCTGTATCTTTAGGCTTCATTTGGATACATCCCCTCAAATCCAAACATATTACTCCTCCATTCCACAACGTAGGTTGTTTTAGTTTTTTTCTAAGTCAAACTTCTACAATTTTGACTAAGTTTATAGAAAAGTGCACCAATATCTACTACATAAAATGATTTCATCAAATCCACTGAAATATTTCTTGATAGTGCACTTATTTGGTATTGTTTTGGTATTGTAGATGTTAATATATTTTGTGTATAACTTGGGTAAAAGTTTTAGAATACTCCATTTTTAGTCTACTTTGAAGATATACAATCACCATCACTAAGATTTAAACCACTGATTCTAAAAAAAAAAAAGATTTAAACCACTAATAATATCACAAAACACTCTGATTGTTCTATTAGTAGCACAGGGAGGCATCTTCTAAAGGATAGCAGGTTATACTTTGCTACACAATTCTCATGGAAAAAATATAGAACTATGGAGGCTTTTGAATAAGTAGTATCCATGGTGCTTACACCTCGTAAATTATGTGATGAGCAACGAAACCGCATGAAGATCGCAATGGAGCTGTAACAGTAGCTAATCAAATGCATAGCCTTTTCTTTTTCCAATTCACAACTATTTGCAAACTTGTAACATCTATAAATCACATGGATTATTTTGTGTGAACGGCATAAATAATCAGTGTAATTCTATATGTTAAGTGCGTAAGTTGCATTTACAAGTTTTATTACTGAAGCTTATTGACTATCTTCTTTTTATTCAGGTAATGGGATATCTTTCAAGTCCATCTCCTCACATAGTGAGTGGAGCAATTGCTGCACTATCATTGCTTATATACAGTGACGCTAATTTTTGCATGGAAGTACCGAATCTGATAGAGTCAGTGTTAGTTTTGCTGCAACATAAAGCCATTGAAGTAACTAAAGTCAGTTCTGTGATTCCCTATGTCCATCTTTTCAGTTCTTTTCCTAATTCCTATTGTTAAGGGTCTGGTATGCTCGATTTTAGGCAGCCTTGGGCTTTGTCAAGGTATTGGTAACTTCTTTGCAACCACAAAAACTATTGAACTTGCAAGCAGATATCGTAAGTGGGATATTACCATGGTCATTGGTTACGAAGCACCATTTCAAAGGGAAGGTTGGTAGAAATATTCCAAGGTTTAATTCCCATATTTTATTGTTTTCTGTACAGGGGTACGAATGACATGTTGTAATCTTATATTTGCAGGTTGTACTAATATTAGAAATATTGATTAGGAAATGTGGGTTTGATGCTATCAACTTAATTACACCTGACAAGTTCAAGGGCTTTGTTAGAAGTGTTGAAGAGGTAAGATTCACATTATACTAACTTGCCACTTAGCCATGGAAACAATATATTATTTGTTTGATCAATGGGGCATGTTTTTAGTGAGTTCTTTTTATGAACTTTATATTGGTAATGACTAAGAGCAAAATTGATTGCTTGTGTACCTGTGACATATATTTTGGTAGCCCTGTATATGTATTTGTAAACAGCATGCCTGGTTAAAGCATATGATATGAAGCAGATCATTAAATACTATTTTTGTATACTCAGGTGGTAGAAACATCCTGTACTGATTTTTTTAGTATGTACTATATTCATCCAGTTAACACGAATACAGATACATCGTTTGTACCTTATGTTCTACTCCGTATGTATCATCTCAAAATAGCGTGTACTTGCAATTTTCAGGGTCGCAAAGGAAATCGTAACCAAACTGATGGTGCACATCTCGAGGCAAAAGAACACGAGCAACGTGATGGCAAAAGGTTAGCCCGGAGTCATTTTTTTCCGGTGCTTAACAAGTTGCTTAATGGTTTATTGTTGTACAGGAGGAAACGGGTTGACTCTAATGCTGAAACTGGACAAGAAGGAACACCTAGTCGTCCACCAAATAGTTGGTCAGCTGGGAAGAAGCAGGGCAAGGATTTTCATTTGAAGAAAAGGACAGGGAGAGGCAACCCTCATGCTGCAAAAAGGCATCAAAGCAGAGATTCAGGTGGCAAAGGTGATAGGACTAATTTCAAGCCGAAGTCAAAATGGCAACCAGGAAATAGCCAAGGAAACAGAGGCGATAAATCGCCTGGCAGCAACCAAAAAAGAACTAGGGGCGGTGCCTCCAGCAAGATGCAAAATAGTGAGGCTCGAGCACCTGGGCACTCTCCTAGTTTCAAGAAGCGTAAGAGATCGACAGCATGAGATGTTTCACTTGCCACCACCCTGTCATCGACTGGGATTCATGGCTCATGGGGATGGCTCTGAATTTTGCATTGTCGACCCCAGCTTTTACCTACTAATGCTTTCATCTTGAAGATCTTTGCAAAACTTGTGAAATTACGGTCATACTCGACTCTGTTGTGAATCCACCGTTTTGTAGAGCAAAATTTTGACTTGTAGGTGGATTGAATACAATTGCAATCAATGGATTTTGATTATAAAGAAATCAATAGGTTATCTATCACTTTGGTTGACCACGTCCTTACCTGCTTGTATCTACCCTTGCGAGTTGTGACTGTTTCAGCCGTTTTGTTGCTGACATGTATGGTGTTGGCAAAATTGTTGTCTACTATTTGAGGACGATATCGAAGTTAGGTACAACAAATATGTTATGTTTGGTTCTTTTGCTAGGAGTGCTTGCCCTAAAATCTACAGCTGCCTAGTGTCAGCAAAAAGCAACGAAAGCTGAATATATAATATACTTGCTCACATTTAGAGGCATATTGAACATATTCTTCAGGTCCATTACGATCTTTGTAGCAGCAGCAGCAAAATGCGTACGATGCCTAGTTCAGGCAACCAAAATGTAAGATCAAACCCAAGGCAGCAAGAACTACCTTCGGCAATCTGTTAACCCCATGGCTCGTTGGCTACTGTAACAACATGGAAATGGAAACAGGGAAATCTCACGAATTAAAAAAAAATCAAAACACATTTAGCTCCTTTGGAACGCAGGAATTTCACATGACTTGCACAGGATTTTCACAAGAAAAACGCATGAAATAGGAAAATTTTCTATGTTCCATAGGGGCCCTCACAAGTCTAAACATCAATATGGGATCCAATGTCCAATCTGGCTCGAGATCTTCCTTGGCGCAGCCCAATCTCCCTCTCGGCTTTCCCTTTACCGCAGCCCAAATCAGTCCAGCCCAACGACATCTTCCGTGTCACATACCCGACTACATCTACATGCCCCTCCATCATTCTTGACTCTTGAACCCGAGCGCCCACATTACCCACGTCATCCCAAAGAAACATCAGAATAATATATTATACAAGGTAAATATATACAAACGCTAATACTCCTCAGCGGCCGGTGGGCCCGGGTCCGCGCCCCCAGACGCTCCTAGCTGGACCCGCTGACCGACCCAGTGGCTCGTCCGCACCGTTCTTTAATTAGCGATGTGGCTCCTTCTCATCCACGTGATGGACACGCGGAGGCGGCTGCCTAGCCACGGGACGAACGCACTCGACCCGGCTGCTCCCTGACGCGGCGCCGCTAGCATCGGCGCCGGCGCAGGCTGCTCTAGCTCGGCGAGCGCGTCAAGCTCGTGGCACGTGTGCCGTGGTAGCCACCGGGCGCTGCATCTTGCGCGCCTTCCAGTCCATCTTGGGTGGCGTAGCGTAGCCCGTGCGGATCGCCGGCGCCAGAGGAGCCTTGCTTGACGAGCATGGCGGAGAGGGCGTCGAAGCGGCGGAGCAACGGGTCGGCGCAGCGGGTGGACAGACGGGCGACGGCGCGGGAGCAGGTGAAGCTCGACAAAATCAGCTCGCAGCCCTGCGCCGCGCCGTGCACCGGCCGGCCAAGCCCCGGCCGAGGCCGCGCCCCATCCCCCACCGCAGTTCCCCACCAGGTAGGCCATGGCCACCAGCGACGTCGTGTTTCAAGTGTTTTAGATGTTTCAGACTTATGTTTGAAGCGTTTAATCTGAATGCTGTAAAAGTCGATCTGGGATGTTGCATATGTTGCAATGACAATATACACACGTTGCAAGCATATGTTTTCAAGTGTTTCTGTTGTTTCGAAAGTATGTTTCAAGTGTTTCATCATGATGTTGCAGAAGTATATCTGGATGTTGCATAACATGCATGTTTCAAACACATGTTCCAAGTGTTTCAGGTGTTTCATACGTATGTTGCAAAACTAGATCTGGATGTTGCATATGTTGCTATGACTATACACGCATGTTTCAAACGTATGTTTCAAGTGTTTCATCTGTTTTCAGTCGCATGTTGCAAGTGTTTTCTACTGGATGTTTCAAAAGCAGATCTGGGGGAGCACATGTAGCAATGGCCCCGTTGGCTGGCGGACAGCGTTGCTGGGGCGCTGTCCGTGGGTCACAGTGCGGGCGCCTGGGGCCGGCAGACGCCTCCCATTGCGCATTCGCAGGCGGGGTGAGGAGGGCGCGTGGGGCGCGCTCCTGGTCCGATGGGGTAATGGTCCTCCTGTTATGCGGGCGCGGCAGGCACGGGCGAGCACGCAAAAAGCGTGCTGGTCAACGATAATATTCTCGTGAGCGGCGAGCGCGGCGCGAGCGTCCGGACGCACGCTTTTGTCCGGACGTATGGGTGCTAGACCCTCCCATATACAAATTGTCACCACACATGGTACTCAATAATTAGTATGATCTTCAGCTTTAGGTGCAACATTATGAAGAGGTCTCTTGTCTGAAGCTGGAACTTTTCCATTATTAAAAAATAGGTGCAACATTATGAGGATTTCTCTCATGTTCTTCACCTCGGACATTTGGGGACATAAAGATATAAAGATCTTCGAGGTCATCGTCACCCAAATTTAGGGAAATATTATTGACTTTGATGCTAGCATAAGCAAACTCGTATGCTGAACTGATCTGGTACCTCACAGCCTTGCAGTTTCTTAACTCCGATGACAGAAAGAGCTAGGCATGCACTTGCTGAACCTCGTTACACTCTTGCTGTATAATCTTTCAGCCATGTTTCCTTCTCATCCTTGTCCTCGACCATTAGGTCTTCGGACCATCTCTTGATTTGGAGTGTGGGACGTCCAGGATGGATGTTGGCTGTGTTCTTGATGGCAGCCTCTGCAGCCTCTACCCTACTTCTAGTAGCACCATAACAATAAATGTCAATACTGAGTTGCTCCAGGCTTGCAAGGTGCTCAAAGGAGAACTCAAAACCCATATCAGACTCTGATTCTTCCGCGTTAAACTCAAGGTTAAAACTTTTGAGCATTGGCATTGCTTCCCTTTCACAAACCATCCTCAGCCCGCCAATCCCTTTGGTCCGGAAAACAAACTCCTTCAGGCAACAGAATAGTTGCCTGCCGATGGTGAGCCTGTCACCGGGGGCTTCACTTGAAATCAGACTGACGTAAAGCAGTGAGGGCATGCCTCCGAGTATGCAGAGCTCTTCCTGTTTAATTTTAGTGACACCAATGCTAAGGTGGGCAAGACTAACAAGAGATGACACCCTTTGTGGAAGTCTACTAAGAGAAGGACAGCATATGAGCTTCTGAAGACATCGAGCATCACTGCATATCGAATCCATCAGTTTATCTGCCGCTGGGTAATCTCCAAAGTCAATTTCCGGCGACTTCAGCTCGTGTTTGGCCAACAGAGTGGGAGATGACTCTAAAGACTCCTGGTACCTCTCCATGTCATGATCACCAAGTTTATCTCTGCAACTGCAATGCAGTTGTATTCCAAGGATCCGTAGATTGGTTAATCTTCTGAGCTGTCCCACAAAGTTCACCGGGTTAGAAGGGCAAACAAATGAAAGCGTGCGTAAGGCTTGAAGATTTCCGATATCATCAGGAAAATACACATAATAACCACCAACAAGGAAGTGAACCAAATTTTGCAGACGACCAATGGTTGGTGGAATTTTTTCTATAATACTGCCACTCAGATCTAGTGTCTGCAAATTCTGTAGGTGTCCAATTCTATTTGGAAGATTGGTAATACCAGCAGAATTGAGTTTCAAATACTTTAACTGGATAAGGCTTCCGAGATACTTGATTTGCTGGTTACCAAGATACCCATAATCCTCATCTTCCAAAACCAATACTCTCAAGTAACAGAACTTTGAAAGTTGAAATGTTTGCTTATCTAATTCATGGAAGCTAATAAGTGAACGGATCTGCAAGCACCTGCCCATAATCTCCTGCATCACTCCGTTTCCCAGACATCTGGATTGAAGAGAGAGCCTGCGAACTTTATTGGAGGAACACTTATATGCATGGCCTTCAACTATTGTGGTAAAGTTCTGCTCTGTGGACTGGGATATGATGAGATCAAGCACCATATCATGGACTCGACAGCCACCAGCCCTACCATCATACATCATTTCAATAGGTTGTATCAAGCTTCTATTGATAAGATCATTAAAATAGTTTTCTCCTATTTGTTCCAAGGACTGTCCCTTCACTTGAGTGATAAAGCCTTCAGCTATCCACATCCGTATTAATTCTTCTCTATCAATCCTATAGTCCTCTGGAAATACACTGAGATATAAGAAGCATGTCTTCAAATGGCAAGGAAGATCATAGTAGCTAAGCAACAATATATCTCCAACATATTGTGCATTGAGTATAGAAACCATAGAATCTTTGACTTGCTCCCATTGCTCTTTTGCATCCGAATTCTTGTTAGCTAGCAAACTAGCTATTGTTATTATAGCTAGTGGCAAACCATGGCACTTCTTTATAATTGCAGGAGAAACTTCTTCCAAGTGAGGAGGGCAGCAATGCTTACTTTGGAAAACCCTTTTATAAAACAGCTTCTGAGAGTCCTCAATCCTCATCACTTAGAGGTTGAATGTTGTGAATATATCCTTCTAAACTAGAGCAACAGGATTGAGCCACATCAATTTGTCTTGAGGTTGTAATTATTCTACTGCACATATTATTTTCAGGTAAAGCAGACTTTAAAGATTCACATGCAGCTATGCTCCAAATATCATCAACGATGATGAGGTACCTGCAAGGAATAATACATTCAAAAGCTCAACATCAGAATCACAAATGCTAAAGTATGCACACTTTCAAAGCATATCAGGGCAGCTAACAACATGCAGTGAAATTATCATAATTCAACAAAACTTAACATTGACACATATACTTATATCGTTATATGCCCCTTCTAGTGTCATAAGCCAGTTCGTTTTTAACATTGACACATATACTTCAAAGATTTGAATATACCTCTTATCTTGCAGGAATGCTCTGAGCTTGTCTATGAGCTGCCGCTCATCATCTGACGCATCAACTCCACCCCTAGTTCCTTGAGCATATCGGTCAGTATCTTCTTCATGTTTGGATTCCTTGAAATTGGCACAAATGCTGCGGAAACGAACTGGGCTCTGATTTTGCAGAACATTTGATTCGCGAGAGTCGTCTTACCAAGTCCACCAAAACCCACAATGGATACCACTTTGAGTTTCTCTGTCGACGAGTAGTCATCTTCCATCAGCCACTGAATGATCTTCTGCCTTGGGCCATCAATCCCAACGAGCCTATCAGCTTCCACATAGAGCGCCGGCAGCCTCGGATCGATCTGGGTCGTCGCACTCATGTCAGCAGCAACGACAGAAGCATCAACCTTGTACCTCAACCGCCGATCGCTTTCCTCCACCACGCTAGCCTTGAGCCCTTGGATCACGCCGGCGATCTTGTGGCGCGACCATATGTTCCTGATCTTCCGGGAGGTGTTCTGGACGATACTGGTGGCGGCATCGGTGCCACCGCCGCCACGCCTCACCTCGTGCAGGAAGAGGTCGATGCAGTCCTCGATGTCGTAGCTCAGCTCGCGCACCTTGTTCCTCCACTCTTTGGACTGCTCGTCCAGCCTCTCCTCGCTGTTGGACAGCTTCACGAGTACGGCGTTCATGCTGCTGAGCTCGTCCCTCAGGAACAGGATCCCGCCCTTGACGCTCTTGAGGTGCCTGTACTCCCCCTCGATCAGGGCGGTGAGCTTGTGGAGCAGGGAGTTCATCACCCCTGTGGAAACACTCGCTATTGGTCCAACCATACTGATCTATCGTGCTTGACTGATTGTTCTTGGTGGATGTAGGAATAGGATAGCTCTCGCGTAGCAGCAGCGGCGCGAGGGCTTCAGCACTCCGGGTAGTGGTGGCGGCGATGGACCGATCAGAAGCTCGATCCGATCGACTGGTGGGGAGCCCGATCCAGGGCGGTGGTGGATGTGAAAGGGCGAGCGCGACTCGTGCGGTGGCGACGACGCCAGCAGCCCAGCACCACCTCCACCAGCGAGAATCACGTACGATCCGTCCGGTCGGGAGCTCGATCGATCCAGCAGAGCGACTGTGGACGGCACCGCCGGAAGGGCTGCCAAGCACGAGCCCCTCAAATCCTCCCGGCGCCTTGAGGTTGACTGGCCGGAGAGAGAAGGATCCGGGCTCCCGTTGTTGGAAGGGAAGGGCGCCGGCGGGGAGGAGAATTTTGGAGTGTCGATCAGCGGCAGAGGGTTGTGTCGAGGAGTATAGTGGGGGGGACTGTAGATGCACAGTGTACACTCCTCTCTCTAAAAGTCATACGAAGCAGGCCATTGCTCGTTGACGCGTCTCGCAGTCTTGGCCCACTAGCCACAAGCACGGCCCGTGGCGCGCAACGTCTTTTTTTTTTCTATTTATTACTTTTTTTATTGTTTAACAATATTACTAGTGTCTCCCTGTATTTCTCTAACTTAAACTAACTTTGATCTAATTTATAGAAAAATATATTAGCGTAAATATTATCAAATAAATATGAAATTTAAATATATCTTATGGCATGTCTAATAAATTTTGTTTGATGTTGTAGATGTTTTTATATATTTTTTCTATAAACTTGATCAAAACAAGAGAAGTTTGAATTATAACAAAACTAAAACCTCTCTTGCATTGCTTGAGGAAAAAAAACTAAAACAACCTAAAATTGGAACGAGATGAGGACTGTATGCATTTGCACAACCTTTGCAGTTTAAGCATGTTGTGAGATGTGTATGTCATGATTAGTACTGTAATACAATCCAGATATCTCAAAAGCGACGTTTATGACTCCAGATGTAGATTATAACCATTGAGATAATTTGTATGTACATGCATACCCTTTGATTCACTTTACTGGAATGATGCCACAAAGATCCTAGCAGAGATCGCTATTAGCCCCATTTTCATGCCGGCATATCCTTGCCACCAAAAACTTGTCCTCAATTCTTGCCGGCATATCACTAGTTACTCAATGCTATTTAACGTAGCCTCTCTCATCTTCTTGCCATGCGCAGACTGAATTAGGGATGCATGGAAGAAACCTGAAGTTCAGAAATGAAACAGATTTGGTTATGGTTGTGCAGAATCTCCTTATCACTCCCATGCTTAACACATCTGTGACTGGTGAGATCGCAGATAATCAAAGAATTCAGTTACATTAGGACTTAGGAGTAAGAAATTAGGATCCAATATATTCTCCCATTTCTTTCTCTGAATCCTCCCGGTGCAATTCGAAAGTTTACAGTTCCCAGCCTCTTACACAAAGGAACCACACGTCCACAAACTCCACCAACAAAAACTTCAGCTCCTAGCTCGTTACAGACTGGAAAACAAGTTCTGTCTCAGCTTAGCTCCGACTCCAATTCGTCTTGACCCTAGCCTTGTGCTTCCTACACTACTGTAGTTTCAATGGACACAGCAAGAATAACTCACATGAAGAGCCAAAGCAACGACATAGTCAAAAAGCTTTACAGTACAAGTATGATTTATCTCCCCAAAACCCGAACTCATGGGAAAATGGCTTCAACAAATGCCTCGGCGTCAAAAGGTTGTAGGTCTTCCATCCCTTCACCAACCCCAATAAACTTCACCGGGATTCCAAGCTCATCCACAACGCTAACCTGCAACAGACCAAGCAAGAAAATCCAGGTGAGACAGTAACAATGGCCATTTTTCAGTTTGTTTATGCAACAAAGCTGTGCCTACCACACAGCCACCACGCGCAGTGCCATCAAGCTTTGTAAGGATGAATCCAGTGACTCCTACAACCTAGAAAAGAGCCAAGAGAGTACAAAATCACCAATAATCCTCCTTTTTTTCCTTTTTATCGAGGACACCAATAATCCTCTTGAATGAAGGATGATGAAATTTAGTACTGAATTATCAGGTTCAGTTATTACATCATTGAACTCTCTTGCTTGCTGTAACATGTTCAAGCCAGTCGTTCCATCAAGAACCAGTAAAATCTCCTGTAGACCATTGAACAATATGTAGTTATTACCAACTAAAAATGAGCAAATAATAAATCAAATTAAATATTTATACATTGAATACAGCATACATTAGGAGCACCAGGAAGCGCTTTAGCTAGGACTTTTTTGCAAGAAACCAGCTCTTCCATCAAACCATAATTTGTATGAAGTCCTGAAAAAGATGCTCCAATGTAGTTAATTTCAGCCCCCAACAGGTAAATATCTAAACAGATGATAATCAAAGTCTGTAACAACAACCATACTTCCTGATGTATCACATAGAACCACATCAAACCCTTCACGCTTCCCGCGCTTTACTGCCTGCGAAAGAACTACCAAACAAGTCAAATTAGATGAAACATAAGAGCATAGCTCCCTATGAGAGAGCAAAGTGCTTTCATAATGCTCGGCAGACCATGTGGTCGTACCTGCTGGAGGCTGTGCCTTCTTATCATTGTCAATGACAATCTCTGAACCAGTTCTCTCAGCCCAGACTTCTAGCTGGTCACGAGCTGCTGCTCTGAAGGTATCACCTGCTGCCATCAATACCTATATTACGGTTCAAAGCAGGAGATGCAAACTGATTAATTCACTTGTGGGAAAATATGGTTGATCCAAAACAATAAATAGAGGGTAAGCACTACATTATAGATACACTGTAGCAACAACGTCATCAAGCAATACATATAGATGGACCCTTTCCCACCTCAACTAGCCTATAAAACAGGAGATGTCAAGAAAATAGACTCACCTTCACTCCTTCATTCTTAAACCTGTAAGCAAGCTTCCCTGCAAAATATAACAAATGAAAAGCATGAATGCATGATCAATCTATGGTACCAGTTGATAACATCATGTTGTTGAATTCAAGGAAAACGTCCTTTCAAAATTAATCAAGTATAGAAAGAACAGAGTACCAAACTAAGCAGTGGCTCCAGTCCAAAGCAAATGTGATCTACTGATACTCGAACTACGACCACATAGTTAGGAACAGAGAGAGTGCCTCTTTCAGTTGAAAACCGTGCCTAATTAAGCTGGACAGACAAAAGTTTATCTAACCGAATGCAGCAAACTGTGTACCTAACGAGGTTGTCTTTCCACCTCCATTCACTCCCACGATCATGATGACCGCCGGCTTCCTGGCATGACGACAGAGCGCAATGAGACCTCGCAAACCTCAATCAACAAAAGATTCTCGCAGGCAGGAGGGAGCAGAACCTGAAGCCGAGATTGAGCTCCGAGTTGCCGCCCTTGCTCGTCAGCAGTTCCAGGATGCACCTTTTCAGAGCCGCCTGCACCATCATCGATCATCAACACTGTAAAATGTAAATCTCTAAACGGCTAAACCAACGGAAATGTTCAGTGAAACTGAAAACAGAAACCCATTTTGAATTCTGAGAGACCGATCGAATTGACCTTTATCTCGGCCCCCGACTTCAGCTTGCCGTCGCGGATCTCCTCGCGGAGCGTGTCGACGATCCGGAACGAGATTTTGGGCCCGAAGTCCGAGACCAGCAGCGCCTGGGCGTGCATCAGCAAGGAACACCATCAGAGCCAAACCGACGGAGCAGACAGCGGAGAGAGTCGGAGGGAGAGGTGAGGTGGCACCTCCTCGAGGTCGTCGAGGACACGGTCGGTGTCGGCGAGGTTCCAGTAGGTGAGGAGCTCGTCGACGACGGAGAGGTTCTCGCGGGTCTTGGAGAAGCCGGAGAAGAGCTTCTCGACGTCGCTCTTGGCCTTCTCCTTGATGAGGCGGCCGAGGCGGGTGAAGAAGCCCGCCTGGCCGGCCGCGGCCGAGCAGCGCAGGAGGCCAGCGCGGCGGCAAGAGTGGGAGCGGGAGCTGGCGCGGGCGGCGCACCCGCTGGCGGGGGAGAGGAAGGGGAGGACATGGGAGGGTGCCGCCATTCCGGGCGCTGCGGATACGAGCGTTGCGCTGATGGGTGGATAGCACTGCGCTGTCTTCTTCTCGGCGGCGAGGAACAGGATCCAGTGGGCTTGGGGGCCCAAAACGAACGGGGCTCGAATGTGGACTTGAGGGCCCAAAACGGACGGGACTGAATGTTTTTGGACGTAGAGACCACGAAGACGGGACTTGAATGTTTCAACGCGCCGTTCTCACCCCGCCCTCTGCGCCACCAAGCTAGGCGCCACCAGTGAGCACACCGGTAGCCTTCACGCTCCGCTGCCCCGTGTCGCCCCCACCCCATCCTTTGTACGCCGCCGCCCAGCTCCGCGTTGCCCACCATTGACCTCCACGCGCCGATGAGCTTCCATAGCGCCAAAAAATACATGTTGCAACTATATGTTTCAAGTGTTTAAAGTGTTTTAGAGGTTTGTTACAAATGTTTTTATCGTTGTTGCAAAAATAGATTGAGATATTACACATGCTGCAATGGCTATAAACGCACGTTTTAAGTGTAGGTTCAAAACATTTCATCTGTTTCAGACGTATGTTGCAAATATTTTATTTGGATGTTGCAAAACTAGATCCGATCTGGATGTTGTATATATATGCAAGTGCTTCAAATGTTTTCATACGTATGTTGCAAGTGTTTTCATCTGTATGTTTGCAATGGCTACACATGTGGTTTCAAGTTTTTCTAATATTTTGCAAGTGTTTCATATGTATATTGCAAGCGTTTTAATTATTTCTGACGTATGTTGCAAATATTTCATCTAGATGTTGTAAAAGTAGATCTGGCGTTGCACATGTTGCAATGAGCCCACCTGCCGCAGACGCCTGCTACATCTAC